GCCGATATTAACTTTATAATGATTTTAGACCTTACTGTCTAATTATAGAAATATTTTTTAAGTATCGTAAACGGAGAGATATATACCGTAGTCAACAACATATAAAACGGCTTATAAGATAGTTAACTAATCCATTAGGTATAAAGCATTAATCTGTACATTGTCAACATTTGGCTAAGCCAGATTCTGTTCGGTACAATATAAAAGGATTAGTAATCTTCTTTCTTGGTTTTCACATCGAAGTATTGGAATAAGATTTTTTCCTCTATATGAATATTCATTGCGATAAACTTGAAGATTAAATCTATAAATTCTTTTATCGGCTTCTAAAAATGGTATAGTTAGTGAGATTTTCTATATAAATAATTATATGAAGTATAATTCATTTTTGTAGTAGGGTTTCTGGTAGTGAAATATAAATTTTAATGTCTCTTTGGTAAGTTATGATGGATATGTTTTTTATTATTCAAGATGACGTGGCCGTGAATACAAATCGGATGGATTTTTAAAGAGCAACGAAATAATAAAATAATCCTGTTTTTAGGGTTTTTTTTCGAAAAATAACCTCTTATTGATACACAACACAGTAAAAGAACACTTTACTGACTGATCAGAACGTCAGGGTCCCCTGTTTCCCTTCCTGTTGTGATATCTAAACTTAAAAGAAAAAAAAATATCAAATACAGGACAATATAATGAACTTGATTGATGAGCTAAGGTCGAAACTTACTAACCTCATTATTTATTCAATATTATATGTATTGTTATCAATTCATCATATTTATATTGACTTATTGGGCCACTGAAAGTTCCACAATATGGTCACGAACAGAATTGTGAACTTTATAATATATTTTATTCTATATTGTAACATTTTTTCGGGACTTCTTTTCCCTTCATCAGCCAAATGTTTACATTGATCAAATGTTTTCATTCAAATGCACGAGTACATTATAAACATGTAAGAGATAGTAATACTAAGAAAATACTAAGAAAATAAAGAAAAAAGTAGGCTCCGCATAAGACATAATTGTTATTATTTTGCAAACTTATTTTTACATCCTCAAAACTGTCATATATCATCTGACATTGTTATTTAAATAAGGTTCACTGTCTGAAATTCTCGGATGAGGATTCATTTTTACTTACACTATCATTAATTACGCTATTTACATCCAAAATATTGACCTCATCATTGTTGCCGTTATGGCAACGTTTCTGTTGTTATGTCCTCCGTCAACAGCAAATTTGTCCAAATATTAGATTAACATGTGAATTGTTGTATCGCTGAAATGATTAAATATATCTTACTGGAATTCTCTGAGTACTGGGCTCTATTTTGAACAATGAAATGTATGTAACTCTCAGTGGAACTGATGATCCATCTTCCTGTTATGTCATCCTTATTCAGTTAACATTTCTGTTGATACCGCTTTAAAAAAAAACGTTTTCTTGATGGTTCTTGAATGGTATTTGAGCATGAAAGTTAGAGTATGAATGTTGGTACCATTACGGGAGGCCTGAATGAACTTTTTTCCTCCAACATTGCTCACTTGTGAAGACATAGTGGGACTGACACAAAACGAATTTAATCTGTTCTTTTTTTAGTGATTCTTGCGACAAATGGTATCAAGATGGCTAGAGGTATTATCTTAAAAATCAGAAATATTCTACACATTAAATATTTTGCTGGGTTGAAAAGTATCCCATGCTGCTTTTTTGGACAATTTTGCTGTTACAACTACAGCTAGTAAATAATCCAATATATATATATATATATATATATATATATATATATATATATATATATATATATATATATATATATTTAATGAACAACAGACACTTCAAAAGGTACTATGACAGTAATTTATTTCACCAAAATCCTTTTTAGGGATTTTGGATCATCAAATAACACTTCCAACAATGAAATGAGAGGATATATATATATATATATATATATATATATATATATATATATTTCTGTGATGAGGTAACTATTTACACCATTTGTATTGTTCAGACTGATTTTCTCATCTTTGTTGTCATATTCCCAATGTTCAGGCCGTTGCACGCTCCAGCCTTCTTCAGGTTATTAGAGAATTGAGATATTTAAGGATCATAGCTCAAATTGGAACTGAAACTGCGATATCAGGGCGAGGCATGGCACATGTAGCTAAAATAATCTACCCCGGCGGTAGAAATAATGTTTTTGGTTCAAAATTCCGATCAGCTGAGGAAGGCCGAGTTGTACAACGACCGAAACGTCGTAAATATGACAATATAAATGAGGACAGCATTCCGAACCATGTAAGTAGTATAACTAATCCAAAATATTTTATAAAACGCCATTTTGTATGGTGAGTTCAATCTATTGACTTTATAGAAATAATTAGAATAACATTAATCTAAAAACTAGAAAAGTTTTCAAAAGCTAACCAAGATAGTGTCACCCTGTATTTCTTTGATGAGGTATTATATACACTATTTACATTGTTCGGTATATCGTTTGCATTATTTGGTATATCGTCCTCGTCTTTGTTCCTATATTTGTCACAAAGTTTTTGCCGTTGTATGCCCCGACCTGCTTCTGGTGGTTGGAATGTCCAACTGAACCCTTTATTTCGCTCGCTGGGGTAGACTATTCTAGTTCTACATGCCATGTCTAATGGATGTAAGTTGCCTCCTATTGATTCCGCTCTTCAAGTTCTCCACTGCCTTAACCAGGTGTTGAACTCACAACTCTTTGGGTCCTGTCACTGGATTTAATCAACGTCTTTATCCACTGTGCCATATGTCCTTAAGAATTTGTTGAACTTATAAACTTAATATCTTCTGCCTCCATTTTTACCAGTGCTCATATTGCATTTTTTTTTTTGGTTAGTTTGAAGAGACTAACCAAATAACTGACCTACGAACAGAGAACTTTTCTCATATAAGTTATCTTCTTTGTCCAAGGTATCTGAAAAAATTTTCAGCCTGACACCTAGTTGTTAAAGTTCTTTTTTGTCTAGATACTAAGTTTACGTGAATTTATTTCTCTGGACATGGCTTCATAGATCTGATCACGAAAGGAACATGTGTATCATTTTCTAATGTTTATATTAATAGTAACAAAAAATAAATTAAGCAAAATTACTCTTTTAACTTGTCTAAATAATTTGTAACAGTAAATGAAGACAAACATATTATTTCGACCTTTTATTAGCTAATTCCATAAATGTTTAAAAATTGAAGATTTCAAAACATATACAATGACAGGGGGAATAATTTGTCTTGAAAAATATTCGTTTCATTTTTTTAACCAATAATATTAAAGACAATGGTTAAATTAGGAAACATTCTGTATTCATTCATGTTATTGACAGCAGAAATGTATAAAATAATTTTATAAAATAGATCTGCAAATCCACTAACTGTTATAGATCTCTCTAGTATTGATGCGATTTTCTTACATTCATTTTGGTTTGTGGTAGTGCGGATATCCTTAAAAGTTCGATCATTAGTTTCTCTTCTACTTATGTCTTATTTATTTTTGTTCTTGCTGCTGTCGAAAGTGCTCCATAATGTATCTTTGCTATTTTCTAAAGTAAATGTAACTTATTAAAGGAAGTGATTACTCTGCTATAGGCATTATACACATTAGGGGCATTATTATATCCATTAAATAACAACACTTTATTGCACGGACAGAACAGAATAGCTGAAAAAAAAGACAATAACAAACATGCTTTATTCAAAGAAAGTTTTATGCCGTTAAATCATACAAAATATGTTTTATACATATTTAAACGTGTCCTACGTGAAGATAGTATGATACATATATGTAACAACAAGTAGTATGAAAATTAAAGAAAATAGAGTCTTACTTGCAATAATTCCCAACGGGAATTGGGGCTGCTGGAGATTATTCAGTGTTTCTGGAAAAGGACATACGTAGGATTCCAGATAGAAGATGATTAGGTTAATCTGCTATGTCACTAGCGAGGACATATCCCTGAAACAGAAAAACGGCAAGTCATGGCTTTTTCCAAAATTGAGGACTGCGGCCCGGAGATAGTTTCTCTATATAGTGATGGTATATTTTTAAAGGAGACGGGAGCCATGTGCTTGCAAGGTGCATCGCTTGGGAAGAGGCCGGGTATTTAAAAGCAACTGCTTCGTTTGATTCCTGGAAGCAAACTGACGGGCTAGCCATTTTGGTTACTCAAAGTAGTGAATACACTAGGCGGTCGCCATGTGATCCCCGTGACTTCATCTCGACGAAAGGAAGATAATTGCGTTTTATATCTCTACATGTATCTCTTGCTTAAACGTTCTCGAATCTGCTGTGAGGAGTTGTTTTTTTTTCTTCTGTGCTTGCTGTTGACATTGTAGAAATGTGAAAGCCTACTTTATGAAGCTACAATAAAGAAAAAGTTTGTGCAAACACTTTATGTAAAAATATTAGTTCTTAACAATTACGATTTAATAACAAAAAATTTTCTTTATTTTTAGCATCATCCGAAAGTTAATATGAGAAAATGTCATGAAAAAAGAGAAGACAACAGGTCGCAGACTGTTCTGTAAATCTGTCGCTACCGGGGGATGCTGTTGTCATTCGTCTGCTTTCATTCAATTAAGCAGCATCGATAAAGACTGACTTCAGTTTGTCCAAACATGCATTTTGGTTTCCGTTGTTAACGCGTGCATTCAATAATTTAATATAGGTCTACAGAATCTTGGATGGGCTTCTCTATTTTCATATAGTACATAAATGAATGCAATCGTCCGTTTATGTAAATAACGGGACTTAAGCGAAGTTGAAGAGAGTTAGAATTAGGTCAATTGCTAAGTGTGTCTTCGTGTAGTAAATCTTCTATTTCCTTACTTACCTGTCTTCCTTATTTATCTCTTTCTGTTATCTCAAAAACCCGAGATACAACAGTATCTTAACTTTCAAATCAGACAAAAAAATTACCTGTCGTGTGATTCACATAATTTTTATTTGTTATAATTCCATGCTTATCTATCTATCTATCTATCTATCTATCTATCTATCTATCTATCTATCTCAATTTGTTCGTATCTATCTATCTATCTATCTATCTATCTATCTATCTATCTATCTATCTCAATTTGTTCGTATCTATCTATCTATCTATCTATCTATCTATCTATCTATCTATCTATCGACACATATTAGTTAATTCCTAAATATCTTAATCTGCCTATATGCCATGCCCCTGGGTATGAATCCTCTTCTTCTCCCTCCAGCTATGGGTAAATAAGCAGGATAGACTGGGTTCTATAGCCTTGGATGGTAACTGGTCTAGGAGAAGGACAACTCTGAATTCAAAGCCTGCGGAGAGTCGTTTGGAGACCTTGTGGCATGTATTCAGCACTTCGGTGTGGAGGGTCCTACACGAAATCTTCACGACTATAATCAAATCTCATGTGCTATTGTCGGGCTGTCGGTTTCTAGGATCTGATCTGCTTGGCCTCATATGTCGAATTCGACGGGAGAGTATATATATATATATATATATATATATATATATATATATATATATATATATATATATATATATGGGGCGTATGGGGCATTCTAGATAGAGGTAGTACCTTCGATGATTAACACGCTGCACCTTAGGGTGGATCAACTGGTCCTCATCCATCCGCTAATTCTCTCCGAAGATGGATCATAGTTTCCATACCCCGGTAAATTGCTTAAGCTGGATGGCTAAATTGAAGTGATGGGGTAGTGTTAAGATGCCACCTGTGACCGGGGAACCACCTCGACGCAGCTAACCGGTCAGGGATGAAGGTTTCTCAGGTGAAATTCAACGGTTAAATGTGGCGATGAAGTTTGGCGGGCCTATTTGGCGGACCTTGGCTCAAGTCTAAGATGGAGAGATGGATGATATCCACCAGTTTAAAAAGCCCAAGACACTCCACATGAAAACATCCGCGGAGACCCAGGATCTGGCGACAGATGTAGGAGAATTCTGGTTAGTACGTCGGCGTTCGAAAGATTTCTTCCGGGGTTAAGGGCGAAAGTAGAAGTAGTATATATGTGTTCAACTTGAGAACAGAATTATTAGCATTCATATTATATAAAAGATCGATATGAAAATAGACTTATTAGCAATCAATAGTATATTTTTAGAATGATTTTTTTTATTAATCCGATAGGTTTTTATGACTTTAAAAATTATCTTTAGTGCATACGCGTATTTGAGTCGGCTTTCCCTTTATTTATTGAAGAATACGTTTATTTATTTATTTCTGCCTGCCTTAATGTTCGAGAAATCTTATTAAATACAATTTGCGCTCTTCGGCAAACATGAACCTGCGCCGCCCAGGGTAATGCGATCTATCGTCAAGCCTAGGACGCTCTAACCAACTTAGTCACGAAGAGAAATCAGCCAGACAAGGCTAAATTTTGTGCCTTTAAATAATATTTCTCTCGTCATAGATCTCTCTACTTTTTTTTCTCTATCAGCACAGTTTAATATCAAAACGTAAAAAAAAGATACTTATTTAGAAAGGATTGTTTATTAATCCGACAGATTTTATTAATCCGACAGTAAAAAATCTTCTTCCCGGTAGACGAAGATAAAAAAATATACTGTTTAACAAATAAACGCTGTTCTTACTAAATACGTGTATCCACTAAAAATAATGTTCTACGTGATAAAAATGGTTAGTCAATATGAATTCTTTATGTACTGTGCGCTAATGAAAGTTGCAATACTTTTATTTCCTCATTGAGATCTTAAAGAAAGATCAAACTAGAGATCAGCTTCGAGAGTTATATTATGTAGGTTTATGGAAGTTCGTCCAACTTAGCTTTGTTATAAAATCTAACTCGTGGAATAGTAATTATTATCGAACTAATAAAAGACATAAAAGCTTGAAAGAATGAATTGCACTCTATGGAGAGACGGTGTGTTCGTTTTTGCTCCAAATTTCCATTCATTCTAAACATATTATCTCGTAATCATCGCAAATTATTCACTAAAATCCAAAGTAAAGAATTAAAACTTGGAAGGCGTTCCTTCGGGAAAAAAAGAATCTTATTAATAATTAATTCGTTTTAAGATTTCGTCTGATGCACTAGAAATAACTGAAAAAAATCGAAAGGGATTACTGGAATTATACTCAGTGTGCATAACAATACGTTTAAATTTTAAACTGATTCCAATAATTTTCTCAAGACTCTGTTATTCGAATTCCACATGGGAAATCAGTAAGCAGATTCACACTAAGCGGATTCTGGTTTGTCTTAATCCACGGATTACGATTTGACTTCTTTTCTACTTTATTCCATCAGTGGAAAGATAATAATCGAAGCATATTCAACCTAAAAATCCAAACGAAATTTCAACATATTCCTTCATTTAAATATTATGCTTTTCGCAAAATCAAATTGGCAAATACAAAAATAAATAAATGAATCAATAAATAGACGACGAATTCAAAAAGAAAATATTCCGTGTAAAGTTTTGATTTTAATATTCAATGTTACTAGCAAAGGAAAATTGTCATTCATTATTCAGTTGGTTGGTTGGGTGAATTCGTTTCGCGTCATATCAACCTCTATGGGTTATTTAATGCCGATATCTAAATATTCTGAAAGCAGTTTTATAGATTCAACTGAATATATTTTGAACGCAATTGTTTGCGGTCAACTACAGATAACAAAGTATTGCTAGTCATTTTGCGTTAAATATGTATTTGTCTATATTTCTGAGATGAGGTATTATTTACACTATTTACATTCTTTGGAATAGTGTCCACGTTTATGTCGCCATATTCAGGAGTTTATAATGTCGAAATGAACCCTTTATCTCGCTCGCTGGGGTAGATTTTTCTAGTTCCGCCTGCCATGTTTAATGGATCTCAGTTAATTTTCCCCACTGCCTTAACTGGGGATTGAACTCACACGCTTTGGGTCCTGTCACTGGATCTAACCAGCGCCTTTATCCACTGTGCCATGTTTCTTTAACTGATAATTGACATCAGTTAAACATGGCAGGTGGAACTAGAACAGTCTACACCAGTGAGCGAAATAAAGGGATAAGTTCGACATTCCAACCACATGAAGAAGGCCGAAGCGTACAACGGCGAAACGTTGTTATAAATATGGCAACAAAGTTGAGGACAATAGTCCGAATAATCTAAATAGGGTAAATATGTATTGTTTGTAATTTTATTATAAATATGTATCTTTTGTTGGTTGATTTTGTTTAGCTGAATATCAAATTTTATGGCTTCTTTAATAACGAAATATAATTATTTTTTAGTAATTTATGCTTTCGTCTACAGATATTTTGTACATAATTTCATACTTTTAGAATAAAGATATGTTTTTAATATATATATATTTTTTTTACGATTATAAAATTTATGGTTCATTTTTCTAAAAAAAACGCAATGTTGATTTTTGTTTGGGGTTTCACTTGTTGCCCATAGCTGGGACCCTAAGAGGTGCTACCACCGTTGGTTAGCATGAACCTGGGAACAACAGCCGTTAAGAAGTGGTTCCACTCTTCTCAACACCGCCAGTCTTCCAATAAGAGGCCTTGCTGCCGGATGTAGTTTATCGTCATACTCAGGATGATCAGTATCTCTATACTGAATTATCATACCGGAAGCAAGAAGGTTTCTTGCTGTAGATCATCATCATCATCATCATCATCATCATCATCGTCCGCATCATCAGTCATGTGTTCTGGTTCAACCTTCGCCAAAACGTATGTGTTGAAAGCTGGTGTATTCATTTATGTGTATCGTGACTTGGGCAAATTGACCGGGCCGATCCCATATCGCCAAGTCGAGGTCCTCACTCTCCATAGCAGCGTCACTCAATCAAACATGGCTGTTGATTCCATCGGGGGAAGCACCAACATGAATATTAGTTAGGGAAGCACTCTGCAATTCAATACTATATCATATCATATATATATATATATATATATATATATATATATATATATATATATATATATATATATATATATTATAAATTAATTGATTTAAAATATGTTTTTCCGCTACACAGTTCTAACCATGTTTCAAAAATTGAAGCTAAAAGCCACGAATTTAATTTTGGATTTTAAATTAAAGACATTAGTTCCATTTCATGCTCAAGCGAATTTTGGAGTAACTTTTAAAATTACTGGGTTTTAAAGACACAGCTAAAATCACGTTTCCATGGTTGCAGATAAATCTACTTCAACTGGACAAGGGGTGTCTGGGTTTTCCTTATGTCTGCATCATTGTATCGGTTATTAGCTACATTTTTGTAAGGGGTACGGATGTATTTTTCAATGAAAACTGACATCCGTTGAATGCATGTCGTCTCGATTTTTTAAAATTTATTGTTAACGGCAAAAAAAATTATTACGGCATTTTTTTCTATTTGTAAACTTAAAGATTTTTCACGGGTGTTCAGATTAGAATACTTTTTTATTTAACTACGATTTGAAATATTCTCATTTTTAATTTTTATTATACTATATTTTTATAAGAACAGTTAAATGTATTAGAATCTTTATAGTATGTAGGATTATTTTTACATCAATTATAAGTATGTATATTAGGTTACATTTTTATTTTTTTTATTTTATATTATTTAATTAAAATTTATGACAATGACGTCAAAAATAGTTACTTAATTTCACTGATTTAGTAAATATTTATTTTTATATATATATATAAACCTAGTAATATATTGTTTCTCATGTAAGTACAAAGGACATGGGTCATTCAAAAGCTTACATCTTCTGGCATTTCATATTAATTTTATTTTACTATAGGTGTTTTATTGGATTCATTTAAGTGCATGTAGTACTAAGTAAAAGAAGTTTAGGTTAGAAATCATTTTATTTAACTACAATTTTAATTACAACTTTAAAATATTTTCATTGTTAGTTTTAATAGTCTATATTACTTTATAACAGATGGAAATGTATTTGAAATTACTTATAGTAAGTAAAATTATTTTTCCATATCTAAGTATATGTATATTACGATTTTTAAACTATATATTTAAATATTATTTAAGTAATATTTATGGCACTTACTGCAAAAATAGCTAATTCATTAATTTCTCAGATTTAGTAAACTTTATTTATTAATTAATTAATTTATTTATTTTAAATATATATAAACTTAGTAATAAAGTTTCATATGTATGT